ATTGCAGTCAGTTCATCCAGATTATCTATTTCTGTCGGAGGCTCTCAGGGAACCCACTTACCCGCGGTGCACCGGACAGCAGAAATCCATTCATCAGCAGCCTCTGGGCCTGGTTCGCCTCCGGGTTCACCGGCCGGCTGCGGAGCGTGTTTTTCATCTAAATAATTTAAACTGCAGGCACCAGGATACCAGTATAAAAGCGAACATATTCCAGTCGGCAGGTTCAGGATTTTAAGTTAAGTTAGGAGTAAATCACAGCGCGACTGTCATCAGCGATGTGTCTGTCTCATGGCCAGCACCCAGGTTGATTAATACTTAGTAATAAATACATGAATAAAGCACCCCCAGTCTACTCAGTTTGCCCCCGCTGTGTATTTTTAAATACGCAGTAGATGTATTTAAAGGTAGTAGAGGACATGTACTGTATATAAAAAACGCGCCCTATAGTCCGGTGCGCCTTATGTGTGTGTTAAATACAGAAATGGGACACATATGAGAGTGCGCCGCTTTTAGTCGGTGCGCCTTATGGTCGTGAAAATACGGTTAAGTGCTCTGCTATCCACTTCACCAACCTTTATTTGAAGGATACCAGAGGTTACTGCAAGTGGGTCTCATCAAAGACACGACAAGACTACCTACAGAGAGGTGATTCACCACCTTACCACCTGAAAAACCTGGTGGAGTTCAAGCAATATTTTGACTGAACACCAGCAGAACCAGTTTGTTACTTGATTTGAAGAGAAAGCAATTTGAACAATAAATCCACCTGCTCTTCATAAAGGAAAGACATAAAGCGTATTGAGGCATCATAGTTCAAAGCCTTTTGTGTTTTCTATGACCTGTCCTAGATGAAGGACATTCTTGGCCCTGGCATAAAGAAAGCTAAATAGAAAAGATTTTCTTTACACTGAAGGTAGTCAAAATTGCACAGTGTTCGGTGTGGAGCTTAGTCTGATCCATACACACTGAGCAAGTTTAAAAAGAAAAAAACGAGGAGAGAAGCCAATTCTCTGCTGATTCCTTCCACCTGTTAAAGAAAAATGATTATTTTAGAAATTTATTACAGTTAATTTATGGCATGTGTAAACACTCTTCAACTTGAACATATTTCTTAATTTTGAACAAGGCTGTGTAAAGATTTAAAACTACTAATGGGTAAGTTATTTAGAGCACCATACCATTAAAATGCAGTATCTCCTCGGGGGTTAGCGCGTACTTATTTAAGCCTGCAGGAGAGATTTCTGGGCTTGGTTTACAGAAAGGGCAAAAAAAAAATGTCTTCCAGAATAAACAAACCATGGAAAGGTGCGGCCCCCGCAGTTCCACAGAGCTGTCTGTGAGAGTTATCTTGTGTTTTATGACTTTAAGAATTCTAGATGCCAGGACAAGCTTTCCGCCTTTTTTGTTAAAACTAAAGAAAGCAAATGACCCCCGATGTTTGCAGAATTAAGGGAAGCCCTAGCAGTGTCAGAGATGCTTTTGGTTGGAGGTTTCCGAGGGCAGCCCTTTTTGAATGGATTAGATACAGGGATAAAGCTTTCTAATAGCAGTTTACAGATCAGATTTGGCTCTTGCAAAACTCTAAAGATGTCTTGTCGTCTTGCTTTCTTTCCTCTATGTTCAGGTAATGGAATGTTTGTCTCTGTTGTTTCTGCAGTTTCTGGTGTAGGTTTGTGCATTTTCTTATTTCTAAGTTTATGCATTGTCTTATATTGGATTAAACTCTGTAATTCTGTGATGTCAACACGCCTTGCTGGTTTTCATATTACCAAACGCAGCTCGCCGGGTGGACCTGGAGAGGGAAGAAAATGAAAAGGCCAACCTTTTTCCAAAGTTAACTATGTTAGAATATTTTCTTCCTTTACACACCCTATCCAGACCCTGTTTGTAGCACTGCCTTAAGGATGGTAACGTCCATACATTTTTTCTTTTCTTACACTGTAAGCAATTGCTGTAAATTTACAGCAAATTTTCAACACTAATAATACTGTTTTCATGTTTAACAGTTCAGTACTGTAGTAAGCAATGCATTGTGGGCTTCTTAACTTCGGAGCAACAGGACAGAGGCCGTAAACGGTATGCGGCTGTTTTAAATAACTGGATACTACAGTATTTTCCGGAAATTTTCCAAAAAGACGACTGCAGAGCACACAACATGCTTACCATCTGTCTTCATCACAAAGATTCCGGGTGTTGCATCTAAAAAATTTAACGGTACGTAAATCAAAATCTTTTTTTCTTTGCATCTGGGTTTGCTTATTTTATTTTTTATTGCCAACAATGTTACAATGTTACGCTATATGTAAGCTATCAGTGATGCTTAAATTTGAATAGGGTAGTCAATATTCTACTATATTCTACTCTGCTACTCTACTATTTTGTTGTTGTTGTTGTTAAATCTTGGTTAACTATAATATACAGTAGCCGGACGACAGCTTACACACACGCCATGCACCACTTTACTCCACTCTGATCTTAGATAGTTTGATGATTTTAGGTGCTTCATTGGTATACAGTAAATCCAGAGAGAGGGACAAAGCCCAAAAGGGGGAAGGTTGTCTCCAAGAAGGAAAGGTGTGATTCCCAGAAGAAGTCTTCCACAGTCAACACAACGTCTCCATGCTCCTGAAGAAACTCCTTGACTTTGAATGGGACTTCTATATAGATCAGTGTGTTCTCCTTAATTCTGCTGTCTGTCCATGTGTTGTTTCGACATCTGGCATTGCCACATTAAACCACAACAGTTTATTAGTTTTATAAGCATTAGCTTGGAGAATATATTGTACATTCCTGATTGTATAATTGTTTGTTATTGTTTGACAGCGGATCCTCTGGAATAATTCTGCAGAGGAACAGCGGCTAACAAACTGAACATCTCTCCTGGATCCACAAGATTTGAAATCAGGGTGGTTTCACACCACCCCAGATTCCCGGGACTATTACTACTACTATCTCACAGGACTACTTTAAGAAGTAAAGTAAATTTTCTTCCCTAAATGTTCTCTTTTTATTCATATGACTGTAATGATGTATACATCCACATGTTCTAACTGTACTGTAATAGTTTTGAAATGGCCTTGATGCAAAATGTTCTTACGTTTGTTTTCCAAATGTTGTCAATTCTGCATTACAGTATTCTGCATTTTCACAGAAATCAGAAAATACATTGCAGATTGCATAATATACATGTTTTAAGTGGAGTTTAGAGGAAAATTTTAATCTACCTGGCTCTACTATTTTAAGAGGGAAAAACACATGCTGGTTTGCTGAATGTTTTTACTCATAATCAAAAAGGTCTTAATGTTCCTACTTTGAAGTAGTCTTAATAATGTTTAAACTCTTATTTCCTCTGTATTTGTTGTGTTGGTCTTTTTCTTATGTGTGTTAAAGACAATGTTAAATAATATTGACATTGGCTCAAAGTCATTTAGTCAGCTGTCTCTGTTTGCTACTCGAATATCTTCTCAGCATCACCAACACGTTATTTTTTTTCTCAATTTTTTTTAAAGTAGCAATATTCAGTATTATATTGCCTTTTGTAATAAAATTATTTTAATTCTTTTTGATCTTATTGCTTATTTTGCACAACTGTGCAACTGTCTGTAGAATAATGAAGTTCTTATATTGATTGCATGTATTCAAGGTTGATATTTTAGGAAACTGCTAAACTGAATTATTGTAATGTGTATCTACTGTGCCTCTCTACAGTAAACTTAAACAGAATTATATTGTAATTTCCAAATAATAGAAATATGATGCATTTATTTTTTACTGTATTAGACAGTGAAATCATTGAACCGTGAGAAAACAGACTACTACTGTAAAGTCAATTTACGGTATAAAAACCCAAAAATTTACAGTATATCGCTGGTGTCCTAGCTGCCAGCTTCTTACCGTAACTCATAGAAATACAGAAATATACCATATTTCTGGTTTACGGTCTACTACTGTAATATAAATTTACAGATGAATACCGTAAAAAATACGGTATATTGCTGGCGTCTCTGCTGCCAGCTCTTTACTGTTATTTTACAGGACAATTATTTACAGTGTAGATCTTAATCTTCAAATTAGGTCAATCATAAGTGAGGTTAAAGTTCATGTTTCTATTCACTAATTTGTTAAAGTTACTAAGGTTTTTATGCATAGTCATTGCTCCTGAAATGTTGCCCAATGTTACCAATTCTTTTGTCAGAACAGTTTCTCCAAGGCTCTGCCCCCTCTATGCAAATCATCCATAGATTCATTTTTAAATTTGTTTCTAACAAATTACATCAAAAAATGTTGTTTTTTACTCATGGTTATTTATGGATGGTAACGTCCTTTCATTTCAGTAACCAAAACTAGTTCCAATATTGTTGAGCTAGTTCCACCATAAGTCTAATGGGTATGATGGAGAATGTCTAGAGGGACTTAGTGGTTGTCAGGATATGCATTCTTGTTTCTCTTCAGATTGCATAAATCTTTCGCCTTTTACTAAAGATTTTCATGCAGGGGAACAACAAGAGTTATACTAAAGTTTTGATGCCCTACTAAGAGGTAGGGTAATATCAATGTCTTATAATAAAGAGATTTAGTCTTATACTGCAGTTTTAATGCTTGTTTTTGTTCCCAATCAAATCGTGTGATATGTTTAGGCTTTTCTTAGATCTTAATCTTCAGATTAAGTCAATCATAAGTGAGGTTAAAGTTCATGTTTCTATTCCCTAATTTGTTAAAGTTACTAAGGTTTTATGCATAGTCATTGCTCCTGAAATGTTGCCCAATGTTACCAATTCTTTTGTCAGAACAGTTTCTCCAAGGCTCTGCCCCCTCTATGCAAATCGTCCATAGATTCATTTTGATCTATGTCGTTTTTTTTACTCATGGTTATTTAAGGATGGTTACTTCCATACATTTCTGTAACCAAAACTAGTTCCATTATTGTTGAGCTAGTTCCACCATAAGTCAAATGGGTATGATGGAGAATGTCTAGAGGGACTTAGTGGTTGTCAGGATATGCACTCTTCTTTCTCTTCAGATCGCTAAATCTTTCGCCTTTTACTAAAGATTTCCGTGCAGAGGAACAACAAGAGTTATACTAAATTTTTGATGCCCTACTAAGAGCTAGGGTGATATCAATGTCTAATAATAAAGAGATTTAGTCTTATACTGCAGTTTTAATGCTCGTTTTTGTGTCCAATCAAATCGTGTGATATGTTTAGGCTTTTCTTAGGTCAATCATAAGTGAGGTTAAAGTTCATGTTTCTATTCCCTAATTTGTTAAAGTTACTAAAGTTTTATGCATAGTCATTGCTCCTGAAATGTTGCCCAATGTTACCAATTCTTTTGTCAGAACAGTTTCTCCCAAGGCTCTGCCCCTCTATGCAAATCGTCCATAGGTTCATTTTGATCTATGTCGTTTTTTTACTCATGGTTATTTAAGGATGGTTACTTCCATACATTTCTGTAACCAAAACTAGTTCCATTATTCACTGCATGAAAAAATGAGATTTTCGTCCCCGTAAACCCCCGTAAACTCCCGCAGATCTGCCTGATTTTCGTCAGTTTCCGACAATTTGCAACCCGTGCTTGTCCGCGTTTGTCGTGCCACAAATTGTCGGAAT